AGCTTGCACTGCCAGCTCAGGCCTCAGCACAATGCAAGGCAAAGCTCTCTGTCCTCTTCTTCCTGAAGCAGTGAGTTCCACTGGTTGTTTGAGAACTGTTGCCCATGAGCTCACAGCACCAGGCTGCTCTCAGGGAAGGAGGCAAAAGCAGTCAGCCTGGACTGCCTGCCTGTCTCCTACCCCCAAAGGAAAGAAAAGTAGAAACCCTGGCAATGACAGGCAAATAAGGGAGCCTGGCACTTGTCTAACACACAGCCCTTGCCTTGCCTTGTCACCACACCAGCAGCCCACTCTGTCCTGCCCTGCCCGCACTCTCCCCACCTGCATTGGACTTTCAGCAGGGGTTATGGGTCAGAACCCGCATCCCCAGCGGGAAGCCGGAGCCCTCTGCTTTCTGCTGCCAAGCACAGCGGGTGGGGAGAGCGCGGGGCAGGGCAGGACAGAGCAGGCTGCCAGGCCACTCCAGATCCCAAGGCTGCAATAGGTGGGGGAGGGGGCCGACCCCTGCTGCTACCCCATGCCGGGGCCCCCCCCAATCATCTGGGCCATGCTGGGCCCCATCCATAGGACAGTTAAGGTGGCCACCGCAGGCCCCCCTCCCCCGCCTCAGTGTGGAGCCTGGGGCGGGTGCCCCAACCCGTTCTATGGCCGGGCAATGCCGCATCACACAGCACTTAGTCTGTGCTGGCATCAGCCACGCAAGCGCAGCGAGAGCGCGGGCGAAAGCGCCCCAGGCGGCGTTCAGACCTAGTGCACTGAGCCAGGCACCCCCGGCGCGTCTAAGCACCTGCATCCACGCGACGCCCTCACACGCACCAAGCTCCTGGGGAGCTGCAGAGCTCAGCCCTTCCGGCCGCTTCACTTCAACGGAGCTGGGAAGGTTCTGGCTTGAGCATGCAGCGGGCAGACCCTGAGCAACTCCAACGGGAGGTCAGGGCCAGGCAGGATGCAGCTCCAGGGGGTGGCTTGTTTCCTATGTGCACCGTGTGGGCACGGGGAGTGTCCGCCTCTCTTCCTGTGGCAGCCGCAGGGACCAGGCGCCCCTCCTCTATCTCCAGACCGGCACCACACGAATTCCTGAGCGAGCAAAGTGGCAGCAGGGCCCAGCCGCAGCCCCAGCTCTCAGCAGCCTTGCAGGACTGCAAGCTGCTCTCAGGCCACGCCTCCTGCACCTCAGTGGCCTCGGATCTGGTTCCAGCGCTGCCGGGGCTGAGGATGCTGTGTACATCCTCTCTCGGGGGAGGGGGGGGGGGCTGAACAACAGAGAACAGAGCCCGCCCTGGAAATCTAACCCTGAGGCGTTTATGCCCCTCTCCAGGTCCCGGGCAGACCAGCTGTGGGGCAGGAGGCTGCCAGCCGGGGGAGGGGGAGGACTAGCAAAGTCAACAGCAGAGGTGTCTGGAAACTAGTGCATGTGGGTGGCTGTGGTTAGAAGCAAATGACTTTGCATAAGTTGCGCTTTTGTGCTGCTCACATCTGACAAGTACAGGCCAACTGCTCCCATCCCGCAGAACACTGGGACTGGAAGGGACCTCGAGAGTCCTTGAGTCCAGTCCCCTGCTCTCATGGCAGGACCTAGCACCATCCAGACCATCCCTGACTGATGTCTGTCCAACCTGCTCTTAAATATCTCCGGGGATGGAGATTCCACAACCTGCCCTCACCCTCACTGGAATCCGGAATCTTGCCCCCTTCTCCATCACCTCTTCAGACTTGTCCGTACTCGAGGGCCCAGCCGCCAGGTTCTCTGCATTGGTGCCACTCCCCAGAGTAGATGGCCTCTTAGCTGCATTTTGCATTGGTGCTGCTTCCTCTGGTTGGAAGCGGAGGGGAAGTGTGTGTGTGTGTGGGGCGGGGCTCTGCTGGCTTAAATTGCAGCTTTGCCTGACTGCATTAGTGCAGGAACCCAAACTGCATGAGTCAAAACCACTTGCTGGCTTGCAACATAACATGGTTTTATTTCTTAGACTTGGGAGCAGTGGCTCTGAAGCAAGGATACGCATGACCCCGGCGTACTGAGAGGTCTTCCAGGGAAGACATAGATTTATCTAGATATCTCCCTAGTTTCACAGCAGACCATAGAAAAAGCACTAGCGAAGTGAGTACAAACTGAAATGTCACAGACAACAGCTTCTTTATACCGCTCTATATACAAATGGAACTACATTTCTATCCCAGTGGATTTATTTTGTAATGACACGGTCGCTATAAGAAAGTAAGTGATTTTTCAGGACTCGTGTTGCTGCGACACGGTCAGATTTTCATGTCTGATTTTGTAGGCAAGGCGTTTCTAAGTGAGGTGAAACTTGGGGATCAACCCCTGAAAGGGACACAGTAGTCTGGACAGGTTGAGAGCTTCTAATCCAGAACACACGAGAACCTAAAGCAGAGCTAAACAAAGCAGGCTACTCCGTACACAACTCGCCACACCTCACTGTAGGCTGAGTGGCTACAAACTGACTCCGGAACAGCATGCTGTTTCCCACGGCCCCCCAGCCCCTAGGGACTAGGACTAAGGGAACACGCCCTTCCCTCCTCCCCACTGTTACAATGCTAGCTTGCAATGGCAGCACAGTCCTCAATACACTGCGTCGGGTCGTGCCGCAAACCCCGGTCTGTTGTGTGCTCTCCTACCTTAGTCAGACACACACAGCTCGCTGACGGGCACCCTTCAGTTCCAGGATCTTTACCGCAAGCAAAACAAGAAGCACCAAGCTCCCTGCACGGTTTCCAGCCAGAGAACGACTTGCAAACGACACGGATTTGGAATGGAATCGACAGGCGTGGGAGAGGGACCCAAAGGAAGGGACTCCTCCGAGGAGGAGGCTCAGAAGGGACTGCCCCAGCCTCTCTGCTGTCCTCCCTCCTCTCCATTGCGTTTGGGGAGGAAAAGGTCGTGTCGTGAAAAATTGTCGTGATTTAAACACTTGCTTGGTGGTTATGCCTACAGCCTCCACTGCACCAGGTGCTATACAAACATATCGTAAGTGACTATCCCTACCCCAAAGAGCTAAAATGCAAGTGCATCTGGGGGGAAGCACAGCAATCGCTTAACAGTGCAATGCAACATGGCACCAAACTTTGGAGGGGGCTGGGGAAGAATTCAAGATCCAGTTAAGATATCCTTTTTCCAGAGGGGGGCGTTTTAAGGTAGGTTAGCACCCCCCAACAATAACGAACTGCTCACTAATCATTTTTTAAGCCCAGATTCTCATGCAATGGAATTAACTGTTCTTTTTTTGAGTGCTCTGGAGGAACGGCACCAACTAAATACCACGCAGCTAGGCAGGATCAAGCTCTGTCTACACCATCCCTGACAGATGTCTATCTAACCTGTTCTTAAATATCTCCAGAGAGGGAGATTCCACCACCTCCCTTGGCAATTTATTCCAATATTTGACCACCCTGACAGTTAGGAATTTTTTCCTAATGTCCAATCTAAACCTCCCCTGCTGCACTTTAAGCCCATTACTCCTTGTCCTGTCCTCAGAAACCAAGAGGAACAAATTTTCTCCTTCCTCCTTGTGACACCCTTTTAGATATTTGAAAACCGCTATCATGTCCCCCCTTAATCTTCTTTTTTCCAAACTAAACAAGCCCAGTTCATGAAGCCTGGCTTCATAGGTCATGTTCTCTAAACCTTTAATCATTCTTGTCGCTCTTCTCTGTACCCTTTCCAATTTCTCCACATCTTTCTTGAAATGTGGTGCCCAGAACTGGACACAGTACTCCAGCTGAGGCCTAACTAGTGCAGAGTAGAGCGGCAGAATGACTTCACGAGTTTTGCTTACAACACACCTGTTGATACAACCTAGAATCATATTTGCTTTTTTTGCAACAGCATCACACTGTTGACTCATATTCAACTTGTGGTCCACTATGACCCCTAGATCCCTTTCTGCCATGCTCCTTCCTAGACAGTCGCTTCCCATCTTGTATGTATGGAACTGATTGTTCCTTCCTAAGTGGAGCACTTTGCATTTCTCTTTATTAAACCTCATCCTGTTTACCTCTGACCATTTCTCTAACTTGCTAAGGTCATTTTGAATTATGTCCCTCTCCTCCAAAGAAGTTGCAACCCCACCCAGTTTGGTATCATCTGCAAACTTAATAAGCGTACTCTCTATCCCAATATCTACATCATTGATGAAGATATTGAACAGTATGGGTCCCAAAACAGACCCTTGAGGAACTTCACTTGTTATCCCTTTCCAGCAGGATTTAGAACCGTTAACAACCACTCTCTGACTACGGTTATCCAGCCAATTATGCACCCACCTTATCGTGGCCCTATCTAAGTTATATTTGCCTAGTTTATCAATAAGAATATCATGCGAGACCGTATCAAATGCCTTACTAAAGTCTAGGTATATGACATCCACCGCTTCTCCCTTATCCACAAGGCTCGATATCCTATCCTTGCATCAGCAAAAAGCTTTGCCAGGAAATCCAGAGGTAACTGATGGCCATGCGGCACTTCTGTCTGCAGCAGTACTTGGGTTAGGCAATGCGGTTGGAGTCTGACCTGCCCCGGAAGGGAGAATAATGCATTGGAGAGCTAGGAATGTTAACCCCTTCTTCCCTGGAAGGAGATCCATTTCCCCTAAACCTCCGCACTAAGCCACTCCCAAGAAAGAAACAAGTCCGTCAAGTGTGCTCCTAGCCTTACA